TTACTGGGAGACAACTGGGAGACAAGTGGGAGACAAATGGGAGACAAATGGGAGACAAGTATAAAATCATGCGGCCAGAGCACTGAGAGCATCCAGAGCTTACTGGGAGACAAGTGGGAGACAAGGGTGAAATCATGCGGCCCGATGCCTATCTGACTTCCTGATTTGTCCTGGAAACGTAGAGCTTACCCTTTTATGTTTAGTGGCAAATCCAATCGCCCCCCGCCCCCCAAAGTTCGGTTGGGGCAGCTTGTCCACTTGTCCTATGGGCCATAGGCAAAAAGACACACACACACACACATAAAAGTAAAAAACAAGATGGAGCCCACGAACCCGAATGCAAACACATACGTCAAACCACTGTGTATAAAAAGAGACACAGCCGGTGGGAATCTCTTTTTCACTCTCTGACACGTTGTTGGACATCATGCGCTGGGGACTCCACCACCAAGGCAGCATGCGCTGGGGACTTCACCACCAAGCTCTGTCTTCATCATGAAGGATTTTTGTTTTGCATTCAAATCAAGCACTGGCGTAAAGGGTCTGGCAGATCCGCGGCACGAAAGAAACAATGGCATTGTCCCAAAATCTCGAAAATAAGCGCTTGAAAATGATAACCGATAACCGTCCACATAATACAGAGAAATCCACAATTGCGGCGTCTGATCTTCTTGTAAATAGGAGTGCAAGACCGTGCGTTGTTGTGTTTCACCTGCATCAACAAGAAGTATATGAGACACACGCAACGGAAGTGAGTAAAACTATCCTATAGGTCATGTAATTAGGACACTCTTGTAGGACACTCTTGTGGGACACTCTTAGAAGACACTCTTGTGGAACACTCTTGTAGGACACTCTTGTGGGACACTCTTAGAAGACACTCTTGTGGAACACTCTTGTGGGACGCTCTTGTAGGACACCCTTGTGGGACATTCTTGTAGGACACTCTTGTGGGACACTCTCGTGAGACACTATTGTGGGACACTCTTGTAGGACACTCTTAGAAGACACTCTTGTAGGAACACTCTTGTGGGACACTCTTGTAGGACACTCTTGTGGGACATTCTTGTAGGACACTCTTGTGGGACACTCTTGTGAGACACTATTGTGGGACACTCTTGTAGGACACTCTT